TCTATAAACTCACTAGGGGGGACCAGAAGGGTTTGGGGGAGATGCTGTTTCCCCTAGCGCCCGCTGGCATAACAAGGAGTAATGGGCACAAGTTGATGGAGAGAAGGTATAGATTGGACATCCGCAAAAACTACTTCACAGGATCTGGAACCAACTTCCAAGGGAAGTGGTGCTGGCCCCTACCCTGGGGGTCTTTAAGAGGAGGCTGGATGCCTACCTGGCTGGACTCAAATGAGTCCCGTTTCTTGTTTTGGGGTTTTGTTGTTCTCCCGCCCTGGCGGGGGGGTCGGGCTAGATCTACTAGGTCCCTTCCGACCCTAAATCTATGAAACTATGAACTCACTTAAGTATAGGTAGGAGGGAAGCTCTGGAGGGCTATGTATTTGTTTGAACTTGCCTCTGAAACCAGAAACCATTTTGAGAACTAGGTTACTTTACATCTCACCTCACTGTGTTAGACTACTTCTATTTTATACACTGAGAGAGCGAGCATGTTTATAGTTGCTACATTGCATCAGTGACAGCTGCCTCAATGTCCCACACTATATGAAGGTGAAAGGAAGTGCAAGGGAAAGCAGACTTCACACCTGGTAAACTAATTGACCAGATCACAGGCAGGCAGACTGGAGCAGGTGCCATGCCACCCGCATGTGGCACATCCTTGCTCCCGCACAGCAGCTGCAGCGCCTGCCTGGCCCACCATGCTGTTTTGCTTCCCACCAGACTCCGTTCCAGGACTTCTGAACAGCAAGCCAGGACTGACCTATGTAATCTGGGAGTGTCCTGGCCACACCAGGACCTAAGGTCACCCTACAATTGCAAAGTAGAGACAACAGCTGCTTTGACTTTTCATAACTAGTTTACTTTCTAAATGTCACTTGATAGAAGGAAAAAAAAAACCCTACATACAAGTTTTGACTGGCAGCAGTGAGGTTTCAGTAAGCAGTAGACTTTCAAGCTATGAAATACATTTGAGAATAGTTTCACTTGGTGGTAAGCTACCCTAACTTTGCTTGCACCTGCTGCAGTATACAAGACACCAGAGTATTACTACAGAACAGCCATCGTGAACTAAGTCCCCTTAAACCTAATATAATTCATTCATCTACCCAACGTCTTAGTTAGGCAAATCTTATTGTTAATATCTCCCATTATAATCCACTCAAGAGGGAAAGGGAAAATACCTCCTTAAGAAACTGTGCTTGTGTGGCAAGACCCACCTACCCAGTCACCTAGTTTAGTTCCTAAAATTTTTATTTTAGTTCCTAAAATTTCATTTTGCGCATCATGCCAAAAGGCTCTGCTTCTCAACTGGAGAATGTACGGTATGTTGACACAAAGATAAGTTGCCCTGGTTTAGCTTCTACTTTCTATAGCCTAAAAGCATGAAACTTAACATGCATTGGCTGTTTCATTGTAAGAAGGGTCTTGATTTGGTATCATTTGTTAATCTGTCCATATCTTAAATCACCTTTCTGCCCTACCATGGAAGCAGAAAACAGGCTGTGCAGAGGCTAAGCCATACAAGTTCTGGACCCTCTTCAGCTGCTGGCCCCCTTTTTTTCATACAATGACTTAAAAGAAAAGTAGCGTGTCAGGAGCAGCTGTAAACATACCAAAAAAGAATGTAGCAACCACTACCTTCACATAGGACCATTGATGTTCCTATCAGCACCCACAAGAAACCTAACCAGAGCTATGAACCATGGCTATCTGCTGCCAGCCACAGCCAACTTGTATTGTTAGACTCTGCCCTTAGCACCCTTGAGTCCATTTAAGGTCAGAAACAACTATGTAAAAGTGAAATCACCACATCAATAGTGAAGAGCTCTGAGTTTCAAAGCACAGGCGCTTTGCTTGCTTTATCAATACGATTCCCTGGAGCATAAGCATCTGGTTCATCTACCTCTGGCAAGTGTATGCTAGGCCCTCAGCACAGGGGTTATGCAAATCTTATAAAAAAAATGATGGCTCAACCATACTTTGGTTTAATAAACATGGTATAACGGATCATTTCTCTCTTACGTGCTACAAAATGGCTTCAGTTTTACACGTCAAAATAATTTCAGGACTCATTTTTATCATTGCCTCGTTTGCTTTTTACCTCTCTCACTCCCTCTGGCCACTAGTTTGGAGGAGTGCAGTGCTAGAAAAGCTGAAACAGAAGCTACTCAAGGCATTTAGAAGTAGAGTAGGACAGACTACAGCCACCAGCAGCATCTGAGTCATACCCATTTCATGAACACTGAAATCCCAACTTTAATTTTCGTTCTTTAAAATGGATGCACATCTGAATCCTCTTCTGCAGAATTCAGCTCCCCCCCACACCTCTGCAAGTGAAACCCATCTTGAAAGAGGGTATACTTGCAGTTTGTAAAGGAAACACCAACTAAAGTGCTCCATCAAATTAGCTGAAAGAGGAAAATCTACTCTATATATCAAAAGTAAGGCCACAGTTTTTGGAAAACTTCTCTACATTTGAGACAATTTTATACAATCAGAGCCTTGGCTATAATATATTTACAGTATCATCATTGACTTCATTATGCAAATCATAATTCACCATTGCAGATAAGCAATAACAAAGTAAGAATGACCAGAGGTTCAGCTGGGAAGGGGCTAAATCCCTCCCCACATACACTGGTTAAGGAACTATGCACATCCTGTATTATTTCCCTTATACTAAGAGACCACAGAAATGGCTGCCTCTGTGGCTTGGGCAAAGTGACTGAAGAAACTGAAGACATTAAGTCTATTGTGAAGACAGGATACCTGCTTTTCTTGGAGAGCTTAGTACCCTTGCTGTTTTTCCTGTAAAACAAAGTGGGAGAGGGATTTTGCCAGAGGAGCTTCAATCTCTTGCCCTGCAGAGCTGCTTAACAGCACCTGACCAGATCCAGCCTTTCTCCCCTCAAGCACCCAGACACGGGAGATATCTATCCTGCTCCCAGTCCACAAGACGAAGGGGGAGGGGGAAAAAAAAACAGACCTCCCCCCACCAAAAACAAATATTAGTGACTTGGGGCTAGAGCTTGTTGGGAAATTTCTGGTTTGCCCAACAGAAAAAGATGCCTCTTTCCCCCCTTCTTTTTTCAAGAAGGGGAAAAAAATGGGAAAGTTTCAATTTGAATAATAACATTGACTTTTCTGCAAGGAAAAAGAAAACCCAAGGCAGTGGCTTCTAAGTTGCCAGAGAGTAAAAGTCTTTTCAATTTCACTTTCTGTCCGTTGGGGGGGGGGACTGACAAAAGCCCTCCAGATTAGCAAATGCAAGCTGAGATGGTCCAATTCAGTTCTCTCAATATGGATTTTTTTTTGAGAATTTCTCTCCCTTGAAAATAGATTTTTCATCATCCCCACTGAAATTTTTTTCCCCTGACACTTGATTTTCCATGAGACAGAAATTCTGTTTTTCAGCCTACTGTGTGGCATCAGATACTAGCAGTGATCAGCTCAAGCAAGCCCTTAATGTGCCATGTATTGAAATAGCTATTTCAAGTAGTCCCGAGTTAAAGCAAGTAATTTTCTTGTCCTACCTCCACTCTGCAAGTTCATTCTCTACAAACAAATGAAGCATCACCAGCTTTATCAGCTAGTCACATACACAGAAACCTAAGAATTAGTTAAATGGTCCAGTGTGCATTTTGTTTCAATATGAATCAGAGTATTTTGCTTAGCCAACTTGAGAAGTTTCCTACATTTAGACTTTATTCACTACACCCTGTTTCCCAGCTGGGACATTCATTTCAGAGAACCCAGTATTTGCATATCTCTATAAAAAGTGTTAAGGCCATGAAGTGCGCAGGGTTACTGAGGTTCTTCTAAGTTCAAGGTCAACATTTCCGCAGTTGCACTCTTTTCTAATTCCAACGCATAAGGGCTATACTCCTCCTCAAGTTTTCTCCTCCAGATTTTAACTAAAAGCAAAAAGAAGAATGTTAGCGAGAAAATCATTTTAACCTTTTGCACAGTTTAATGCAGACATATCCCCTGCTGTGCAGTATCCTCAGCTGCCACAGTTAAGCTCCAAAATGCCTCTCTCTGCAGCAGTGGTTCTCAGCCTTACTGGACTCAAGGCATCCCCTTCCATAACTTTGAGTGGCACCCAATTTCAAAAACTGTATTTATTACATTGCTCATCATCTTGCAGAGTGGCTGGACAGTGGGAGTGGGGGATCATTTAGGCAGGGACAAGCCTGAGCCTATGTTTATATCCTTAGCTTATCTCTTCACACATTGCAACACGCTCCAAAGCATCTAGTGGCATCCCAGGGTGCCCTGTCACCCTGAGTGAGAGTCACTGCTCTACAGTGTAAAAGAGAAATCAATATAAGGTTTTCAAGACAACATATACTTATTTTCTAATAGAAAATAGCATACTTATTCAAATCTAAGATGAGGCTTTTCTTCCCATTCAATATGGGATGAAAAAGAAAACTTGTCCTGGATTTGATTACCAGCTGGGGCAGGCACTTCATCTGTAGCCCTGACCCAAGGAAGATGGCATGGTGCAGGGTGGCAGGGAGAGCCTGGGGGAAGACTGTGCAATGGCAGGGATGCTGGAGCCAGGGTCAGAGCTACTAAATGCTCTGTACCCGAGGCTGGAGTTGAAGCTGCCACAGAGTAAGTAATATTTTGTGTGGGCATGGGGTTCAAGGCACAGGTGCCAGCATGGACAAGCAGTACAGTGGTAGGCAATCAGGGGAAGGGAGAGGCAAAAAGCAGAGCAGGGCTGGCTGTGTCCCCCCACCCCCACTTTCACCTTTATAGCTGTGGGAAGAAACACATTTAAGAAAACCTTCCTATAATTGGATTCTCTACACAGAAAATTATAACCAATTTATAAATTTTTCATACAGAGAGTCTAATTATTGAGGGGTCATTTTAAAAACACAAAGTCATCTCTGATTTGGGTAAATAGGGTACTTTCTCCATTCAGCATCTGCTGAAGAAGTTTGAACCTATCTTTACTAAGCCCTCTGCCTGAAGTTGTCTTTTGGGGACTAATAATAGCCCATAATCTTACTACTCTCTGAAAGTAATGATTTAAAGAATACACTTCCAGTGCTATCACAACCACTTTTAAAAGCCCTTAAAATCTGTATGTATTCACATGGAGATCACTGTATTTACAATGCCAAGGAAGTGATCTCTATGGTAGGAGGCCCTTGTGCAGTGTGCGTGCACTGTGAAGACAGAAAGAAGACTTTTGTAGCTGAAGCTCCAGCACAAGACTGAAATTCCAGAACAACTAACATTAAGCCAATATCCATAGACTAGTCATTCTTACAAGAAGGGCCAGTGGATGATTAGGAACTCTGTTCTAAGTCTGATCTGAAAAAGCGCATGCTACCTGCTGCCAGGTCAACTATTTCAGAAGAGACAGAGGAAGAGATTGCCATCTACTGAGTCACAGACACTACATCCTGAAAAACTGGGCTTTTCTCACATGGTACCCAGCGAAGCAGACAGTGGGTCTGACTTCAGTTTATGAAATCTGGAAATTTCAGACTAAACTGGTATGTTTGCACTTTCTAATTACACATCTCATAAGTCTGCTCTACAACAAAGGAAAACTTGAGTGCAGAAAAAGGAAAGCAAAACAAGGTACCAAGCACTCACTGTAATTTGGAACGTCATCATCAGATTCCACATGGGGTGCTTTACTGGTCTCTGGCAAACTCTCTTCATGAGTGCTGTTGCATTTTTCACTTCCTCCTTCAGCTGCCTCTTCCTCCAGTGCTGCTATCATTGCTTTATATGCCGTCCTGGCTTCCACTGTAAGCTGCACCATTCTGTGAAAGTGGTCCTACAGTGGAAAAAATTTTGGAAGCACCAGTGGTAAGATAGATATGGAGGTGCTTTGTATTAAGTCTGTAAAGAAAGGAGTGTATTTGTATCCTCACTCTATTAAATATAAGCACCCAGATGGACAAACAGAATATCGTGGACTATAGTTTTAGTAAAGTAATTATTCCATATGGTTATTTAGTTAGCCCAAGAGAAGTGCAGTGTATAAGGAACTGAATGGTATATCTTTTGATATAAACATGTACTGCTTTAGCCATACAGACACATGACTAGTTAGAGCAGAGCATACTTCGAGTTCAAAGCACTATTGTATATTATGCACCAGCTTGAAAAAGTAAGCCTCCTTCCCACAGTGCTCCGTTCCAGCTAACATTCTATTATCAGAAGAGGAAATTAATCTAAATTTTCAAGTGTCAGTTTAAATGACTTTCAGTATTTTCTTTTGACTGTAGCTGCTTCCTACGGTGGGATGAAGCCTGTTAGAAAGCATAAGGGCTACTACGAGGTAGGTCCTCCGCACAGATCACTGGACATTTATGAGGCAGCAAAGCTTTTTGGAGAGCAGATCTGAGGGGAGAAGCAGGGACCAAAATACACGTGAACAATATGGAGTAAGTCAGTTGAGAGGGTCAGCAGCGGAGGCAAACAAAAATGTTAAATATTCTGAATGGTATCCAGGTTGTAGCCGTATTGGTCTAAAGGAAAAGGCAATCAGGGCTCGTAGTAGAGATGATATCTTTTATTAGACCAACAAAATTTTTGCAAAAAAATTTAATTGCAAGCTTTTGCACACAAACACCCTTCACCAGGCATTGGAGACAGGATTGTAAAAGTTCTCCTGGGTAGAAATGAAAGTTCATAAAAGATATCGTATCTCTACTAGAAGTCCTGATTGCCTTTAAATATTCTGAATAACATTCAAATAATCAAACCTTTTAAAATGTATAAACATAAGCAAAGACCATCTCAGACTTTTGCTCAGTATATTATACACCCAGAGTAATACTAACGACTGATACGAACCAATACCTTTGTTCAACTCACCTGAGCACCATCATAGCTGAAAATTCCCACCACGCTGACAGGCACGGCTTTGTTCACACAATGCCCTAGAGCTTTGCGATTGAGGGCAAAAACAAACGGGATATTCTGCTCACAAGCACAGTCAATAATGGTATGCAGAGTCTCATCCAACCCACCTGGAACAGACCAAAAACCGAATGAACGGAAACTGAGACTAATCAAAAGTATCGTTTATTCAAAGGCACTATTGCCAGAAATCCTTTAACAGCTACAGGATTATAGCATGGTATTTAAAAGATGCCAAAACATTATTTAAAAAAAAAAAAAAAAGAGCAAAGTGCCCAGGAACAATACTACAAGTTCAGTGGTGCATTGTGGGCTCTATTATTCTGAAGAAAATCTTAAAATACTCTTTGAATCTGTGAGAATCCTCAGCGTGCACTGCTACTACTAAACTCCCTGTTTTTTATGAGGAACAAAAATTGCACACAAGACATTAGTCATGATTAACTTGTATATTTTAGAAAATTCCTAAACAACATAGCAAGGCTGAAGATAGAAAATGAGCCTTTAAGAACAAAAAAAAAAAGTCAGTGACAGTGTTCTGAATAGCAATTACCTTAAACAAAATGTTGGACATCAGCTGCCTATTCCTCTGATCGACCACTTCCTTTCAAATGCTTCAGCATGAATAATGTGATTTGCTTTATGACTTCAAATTCTTGGACTTCAATGCCAGGGCAGGACAAGGCCTCAAACCAGTGCTTCTCAGCATACCTGATCCTGCAGCCAGCCATTTCTCCCTGCTGCCCCACAAATGACCCCTCCAGTCCCCAAATTCCCAACCCAGACACAGCTCCACCTTGCTTTGACTTCCCTTAGGGTCCCCTTGCCAGACACGCTGCAGACATCCAAGCTAGCTCTTCACCCACTAGCTCCAGAATAAACTGCATGGCTATGTTCATGCAGAGCTAAGCCTTGGTTAAAATGCTCTCTCTGCAGTACTGTGTTAAAGGTGACTATTTTGCTTCTGTGCTGGAGATACTGCATGCAAACAACCTAGAACTGGCAATATTCAGGGTAGTGGGGGAAGGGTTACCTGGTTCACCTGCCATACCTCTGTGACTCACCAGTCCAGAACCACTGCTCTGGACAACACTGTTGCCAACAGAACAAATGTCTGCTCTTTTACCTTCATATGTCTGAAAAAATCTGGTTCTTTGGTAGTACACATTTACCCTTTGACTGAATCTTTTCACAGTTGGGAGAGATGATGACACATTTCAGTTTTTTCAGCTTCAGGTGTTTCAAAACTTCTCGAAGCCCCATAACAAGCCTGCGTTTTGTCTTGGCCTTTACTGGGTCTCTCTCATATAAGCGATCTTGGAAACGAACCAGTTCCTTTAAGAGATCTGTCACGCAACTGTCGACTTCTTTACTAAGCACCTGGCTGCAGTAACTGGAAGAAAGAATCAATGGTTTAGGCGTTTAAAATGCTCTGCAATCACAAGCATACCTATATGACCCCCACCCCTCTCCCCTGAAAACAAACACATACACTACGTCAAGAAAGAAAATCTATTCCAGGTTTCCTAGTGCCTGAGAAGCTATGGAAAAGTTTATTACCATATCCCATATCAAGATAAACCAAAAAATGCACATGGAGACAAAGTAGTTTTCCTAAGGATGCCATTTTCACCCATAAAAAGACAGATAAAAGGCAACTCAATCAAAAAATTGCTACTTGATTTCTATAACAAGACTGAAACAGTAAAACTGGAGCATAGCCCAAAGCACTGAGATTTAATACTGAAAGGGGAAGATAAGTTGTGTCATGCTTTCACTAAATCTTTGGGCAACTCTGCCTTTGTGATGTATAAATGTGAAGGGGATTCACAGGAAGAGAGAGGACTTACCACATCTCTTAGCATCCAGCAGAAGTCAGAGGGGGGGAGGGGAAAGAGGCAGCTCCAATGTAATTTTGCTTCTCAGTGCTAAAAAGGGAGGTAGGAAAGGAACCTATGTGGAAGTGTTGCCTTAGAACACTTTTAAATGGGGAATATAAGAGGGAGAATTGCTAACAGTGCCATAAGAGTTGTGCCACAAGGAAACCGAGATTCACAGGGACT